CCCCCCCTGGCCCCCGCCGGGCGGAAGGCCCGCCCATTCCCCCTCTCTGCCCTTTCCGATTGGCTCGGCGGGCCGTCCTTCCGCCGGCCGGCCTCGCGCGCCCGCGAGGAGGGGGCGGGAAGAGCCGCCCCGCCCACTCCTTCCCGCCCCGCTCGCTCATTGGACGGTTAGAAAGGGCGCGGCCTTCTGATTGGGCTCACCCCGTATCAATCGCAGCAGTCCAACCATGGGAGGACTTCCCCTGCTCATTGGCCATTGGGCCGGACTTTTTGCCTCCTTCTGATTGGCTCTCTTCCCTGCCAGTTATAATGGTCCTGCTGCGGCCCCGCCCCGCCCTTCCCCATTGGCCGCTCGCTTAGACGCGGGTTCCCATCGTCCCTCTCAAATTCTCGCGAGCTGCTCTTTCCCCGCCCCCTTTCCTCATTGGTCACTGGTAAACTTTCCTGCGCTGCTCTGATTGGCTGAAGTCTACGCCGCTCCCGAAGAAGCGCGGGCTGCTGCCCAAGCTCCGCTCTTCGGTTTTCATTGGGCGAGAAAATTCTCCCCAGGCATCTGATTGGGTGCAGCCAGATAGCTTGCTGTAGGCTAAAGCGGAAATCAGTCACGCTTGCTCTGACTCTGATTGGTCGCAGCGGGGAAGAGGGCGGTTTCCCGGCGGAGTTCTCCGTGCGGCCGCGGCTGAGAGCTCAGACCGCGCCGGGCTGCGGCGCGGAGCAGAGGAGGGTGGGGGTGGTGGTTTTCGCGCGTCTCCTCAGCCCGTAGGGACGCGCAGGCAGCCGGGGGATCAACGCCACCGGGGTGGTCTGGGGCTCAGCTTCACCGGAGGGGGAAAGGAGAGAGCGTTCAAGCGGGGCGCGACAGCTCGGCCTCCGGTCAGCGCCTGCTCTGCCCTCCGCCCGGTTCCCTGTGCGTGTCCGCACCAGGAGATACACCGAGACCCCTCCTGCGGCTGCGGCAGCCCCGCAGGTCTCGGGGGGGGGCCGGCCCTCCCCTCCTGGGTGTCGGAGCCTGGAGAGGGCGGCAGGGAGCAGGCCCGGGGACCGTCCGACTGTCACGGTCACGCCTCGGCCTGTCACCGCCCCACTCGAGGCGTTCAAACCATTTGCAATATTCCCTGTTTAAAGCATCACAGAAAACACGACTTATGCTGATACATTGTCACGTTTGTCAGCGTTCTCATCTTCCACGCGGGAGCTGGAGCTCAAGAGGTGGCGAGGGATGGGAAGGACCAGCTTTGCTTTGGGTCTGCCTCTGAGGCAAAGGGGTCGGAGCTGCTGCAACCTCCAGGCCCGGGAAACCCAGTCCCCGTCGAACAGAAGCAGCTCTAATCGCGTACCATCACGTGAGGATCCGGCTGGGCCCCTGCGCTCCTGCCCTGCCGGTGCGCAGGGCAGAAGGGAGAAAGAAAGGTTCGAAGGCTGAGAAAGCTGTGGGAGGGGTGGACTCCGCCATCCTGCCATCCCATAAATCCCAGGGGTGGACTCCGCCAACCCCTGCATCCTGCCATCCCATAAATCATCCCTAATTCCGCACCACCAGGGCTGCGCTGGAGAATTATCCGTTCGTTAGTCGTCTTTGCCATCGAAACGCATCGCGATCCGGCAGGACCTGAGGAGGGGAAAAAAAAAAAAAAAAAACAAACCAAACCTGCAACCACACTGCAGTAGGAAGAACTTCATTTAAGCCAGCGATGCTACGGCCCCCTCGAGCCATGTTTTATAATCACAGCCTAAGTGGTTTGAAATAAGGAGAGCAGAAAGCACAATGTTCCCTCGCCATGCCTCTGAGTGAAATGTCCTCGCATCTCTGTGTCACCCCATGGAAATAAGATCGCTCCCCAGGAACGTCTTAATCCCACAGAGGGAGAATTAAATCACATTTTTTAATAGCGGTCCATTAGACTGCATTTCTCCCTGTCATATCATCTCCTTCTGACAGAGATGGTACACAGAGGCTCCCAAAACTGTGGGTAGGTTTTCAGTGGTGGGTAAATAGCTGATGTCTAAATATAGGCCTAGGAGTGATAGAAATTGTGTTGGAAATATATGTTGAGCTTCTGAAAATGAGATCCTCCTATGTAACAACACTGAGTTAACCTAACGGGCGTAGCGGAGGCAGAGCCGCAATGGTACCGGAGCTCGGCTCATGTGGATATAATTATCGTAAAGTATCTGAAAGGCAGATAAATGAGATGGATGCAGAGTGTCCAGATGAAGGGATGCAAAGGTATGTGAGGGAGGGGCGGCAGCACCGGCGCGGAGGAGACGTGGAGTCTGTCAGACAGCCTTATCGCAGCCGCTGCTCTTGTCTGGGTCGAGCCGCTTTCCTGGGGAGACACCACTGAAGGATAAAGCTTGGGCTTTTATTTTTTTTTTTCCCTTCTCTTCCCCTAAAAAAATGGCTATTCTGTCGAGGTGTTACCATTTTACAGAAATATCTCACTTCCAGGGCCAGGGTTGCGAGAAAGGTTTCTGGAGGCTGGGATGGGATGGATTGAGGAAGGAGACCTGGCCCACAGCGTGCTTTGGGGAGCAGAATATCCCAGTTTACAATAAAATAAAGCATCATTTTAGTCTGGATCCCATGCAGATACCCCTCCCCGCCAGCTCCCCTCCTGCACATCCCGTGGCATCTGTCAGAGCATCAGAGGAGCTGAGGAATCACTCCTCAGCTAGGTAAGATAAAACTGCGGGGAAAACCCTATTTTGCCATATTTCAGCTTCGTCTTTGAGGTTACATCTGGTAAAACAGCTCCACCGGCTCCACGCATCGCTTTAAACAGCTAGTTGGAGCGACCGTCTATCTGCCAAGGTCCTCACCGCTTCCTCCTGCTGCCTCGGCTTGGGAGAGGAACGCAGAAATTAAAATTCCTCCGCTGATGAGTCACGGTTTAAAAGACACCTTGGGGGAGCGCTGGGCCACATCACGGCAGGGCCGGGCCCTCCTGACGGACGTTTAATCTGATTTCGGTCCTCCTGACCCGCTCCTTCCTCCTGGACTCTTCTCCTCCCGGATTTTTCCACCTCCACGTCAGTCACCGCTGACGTGGATCTCTCCAGCGGCACCGGTGCGTTTTGGAGCGGGTTTTGGCACCGGGAAGAGGCAACGCAGCACCTGAAACCAGCCCTGGAGAGGAGGACGCTTTGTCAGGCCGTGAGAAAGGACCCGGCGTAAGCAGGAATCTCCCCCGGGGCCCAGGCTAGATAAAGAGCGCTCTGTCTGCGCTTATATATGTGTGTATGAATAATTAAGGTGCCAGATGGCCCTTGAGCCCCTGGTCTAGGTATAAACCTCTAATTACATTTGGTGTCCATGGGAGTCGGGTATCCAGGTCCCTCTGCGGAGCTGGGCTCATCCCGGAGGATACTTGGGTGTTGCGGAACCACAGAAACTTGCTGTTTTCCTGCAAAAATCTTTCTCTAAGGGTTTAACTTTCTTTTTAAAACCTGTCTGGAGATGATCGCAGAGGAACGGGTCGGTCTGATGGAGGAGGAGAAGCAAAGAGAGCTCCCTGGCAGGATCCCGAGCCCCCGCTCGGAGCCCCGCTGAGCCACATGGGTAGAAGACTTGCGAGCATCTCGACTGAGGAGGCGTTTGCAGTTTTGCATTCAGAGGAGCTGCCTTTCATCCTGGAGGTGCGCTTGTATCCCAGCTGGCCATTAGAGATGTCGAAATACATTAGCTTCACTTAGGCGAGGCCGCAAGAGCCCTCCCGGGAGCGGAGCTGCCAGCCCAGAAGCGAGCTGTCGCGCACTCTGACCCGGCGAGGAGGCGAAAGCTTTCCCCGAACGGTGGCTGCAATTCTCGTGACGATCTCCGCAGCGGCCCAGACCTCGCCTCAGCCAGCAGAAGAAAACTGGAGACCATCCACCCTGCGGGATGCCGGTGAGGTTTGGCAACGAACCACGAGGCAGCTCCCTGTACCTCGAGGAAAGCCGGGAGAGAGCGGATTTCTTCCTGCAGCCGGGAAAGCTGTGTCTGGCGCTCACTGGCAGCCTCGCGGGGAGACGGGGTCAAGTTCAAGACTCCTCACCCTGCCCCGTGCCTGATTTCACCGCTGCCTAAAGCCCGGCTCCCTTCACCGTGGTCCAGCTCTGCTCAGCACCGTCCCCGAGGGCTTTGGGGACAGATTTTGCAGCGGTTTCTCCTCGGAGCATCCTCCCAACCAGCAGCCCCAGGCACCCCGCTCTCCCCAGCCTCCTGCCCCATGCCCCAGCGCTCTGCCCGCTCCTGCCCGGCAGGCAGAGCAGGCAGCCCCTGCCTGTCCCGCTGCCGGCAGAGGGCAACGGCAGCCCATGAATTGCCAGGGCCTGATCCGGCCCCGCTGCCGCAGCCCTGCCCGGGGCTGGCCGCAGGAGCTGGGCCCTCTGCCCTGGCGCAGCCCCTCCTAACCCCCCTCCGCTCCCTTTTCTTCTCCATTTCATTTCTTTTCCTCCGCTGCATGGGGAGTGCTGGAGTTTAATAAGTAATGAAGGAATTTATGAAGCCATTAGCACAGTAATTGTTCGCTTTCCACCTAATATTCAGAGATTAATGGAGAGGGAAAAATAAACCCCCAAAGTATAGAGAGGATTAAGGCGGGATCGGGGATCCAGGATCACACTGCAGGGCCACATCCTTCACCGAAGCCCTGTGTCCTGCGGATGGCTGGTGCACGGACATGAATCTATGATTACAAAGATTTGATCGCCCAGGGACCCTCCGCGCTCTCAGCCTCCTGCCCTTTCCAGTCCCCAGCTTCCCGCCCCGGGACTCGCCGAGGACGGCCCCGCTCAGGCCAGCGACGTCCGTACGGGATGGAGGCACCTGATTTTGGGCGCCCAAGCCCCGTCTCTCCTGGCAGGGCCCCACGGCTCCTCCTGCGGAGATGCAGCCCAAGGAAGCCAAGCAGCGCCCTGGGACACTGCGTACGTCCACGGGCTTCAGGTGGTTTGGCTCAGGTCCGTCTCCGGTCCATCTGCCCCCTGCAAGCTGGTGCCTTTGCCTTCCAGTCGCTGCCTGCCCTCAGAGGAGCCCGGTTTTACATCCTGCTCCACTCAGAGACCCTTCCACCGAGAGGCAGCAATCTGGACCGTCGTCACGCTGTGCCTCGGTTCTGCTCTCTGAGAGCGGGGAGGAAAACGAAGCCGTCCTGCCGGGGAGGAGCAGCACGGCCCAGAAGGACTCGGCCCTGCTGCGCTCACGCCGAGCAGAGACGAGACCCACCACGATCCCGGCAGGCAGGCGCCTTTAAACACTGGAGCCTCCGCTCGAGCC